TGTTAGTGCGGCGCTCTTGCGGTTTCGATCAAAATTATGGGTAACCTTGCGTCATGTCTAGCTTCAATCATTACGTGCTCCCTGAGAGTAGAATGGAGTCTTTCAATTTTCAGCCCTCTGTATTGTACATCATATTCTGCTGCTCGATATTACTGGTTCCAATTTATGCGGTTATGTATATTTGTAGATGGAAAATCTACTTAGCATTGAACAAGAAAACATATTCTACGCAGACAAAGCTCAGTGTGAAGCAGCTTGTTCAGGTACGACAACCTTTACCTCGATATGAATGCATATGTATGGGTCTGCAGTGTTTGTTGTAGTGTAAAATACTCATTAACCACCTCCTTATCTCAACTGAGCAAAGTCAGCTATGTTTTAAGCTCGCCATGTGCTAAAATTGTACCAGTTGTTTAATACATAAAAGCAATTGGAGGAACTTCTGACTGATTGGAATGTATTGTGACTGAAATGTAAAAAGCTCAAGGCATAGAGGGCAGGGATTATAATCATTTTTAGCGCAGCATACATACAAAATGCGGCGCTAGTTAAGCGTTGCCCGGGAGCCTTTCCTGTAGATCGAGTCGGATGATAAGAACCAATTTCGATCAGCAACACCTCACAGGAGTTTGACAGTTGTGAGGTTCCACCCAGTTGACCTTTGAACTCCGAGAAAACTCACCAATTGAGTTGAGACTAGAGTTAGTGTAGCCAGATGCATTCCTTTGATATGTTTGATTGACGTAAATCACAAACTGCAAAAACTGGCCGAGGCAGATATATATTGGTGGTGAGACAAACTTATGGTGAGCAGCTCTCGTAAACAGGAAGGGGCTAGTGAATGGATGGTAATATTGTGAGCAAAAAAAACAGTGTATTTATTGGGAGCACTCGCTCCAGTTGAGTGACTAGAGGAGAATTCAGGTGGAAAAGAGACAGAAAAAACAGAATAGCAAGAGAAGGGGTAACCACCAGTAAGCCCACCAAGTTGTGGCTGACAGGGTTTTGACGAGCATTATTAGTACCAGAGTACTGCTTCATGCCGTA